TTTCTATTCAGACAGTTCCCCCGAGAGTTCATAAGTTAAGCATTTCCGCGTGGATCCTGCGCGCGTGCACGTGATACACGTGCGTGAATTCATCCAAGTATCTACGCGCGCGCGCACTCTCTGGGCGCATTCACGCCGGGCGATAGACCGAGGATAATACGAGATTTATCGCGATTTCTCGCGGTCGAGCGACCGGCGAATTAGTAATTGTCGGATTTCCCAATGAAGCGCGCGTCTCTAAATGGTTTAAACGCTCCTTTCGGACTGCGACGGCTTAGACTCGCGACTAAGCGGCGCGAATTAATCTCGACTTCGGCGATGCATGCGCGAAACTGAGAGTCCCTTTTTCGCATCCCTCTCGTTATATCAGGTACCAGCCAAGACCGCCGCGAATTTCTCACGCGGACCTCTTGGGGATACCCGGTTTAACCCTACTTTAATAAAATATAATATAATAATATGAATTAAATATATAAACATATGTATATAAAAAGAAATAAAAAAATGTTACAATACGAAATTATCATTTTAAGTTACAAATTATATTAATTGCGCAATTAAATTAAATTACGTATTACTATATTGATAAAACTCTAGCTTTTTATCTCGTAAATGTTAACGTGGATAAAGAAAAACTGTATCACTTGTTGTTCTCCCTTTTCATTGTACTCCTTCCGCGGAAAAGACAAGTGCAATTTTCATACGCAAGTCTTCAACGAGAAAGGAAAAAAAAAAAAAACAACGGACGCACAGACGTGCGTATTACGAAAGAAACTTTTCGAAGAGCTCTCCCTCCTTACAAATATCGCATTGTGTTCGGCATACACACAAAACTACCGGACATCCGGCCAGTATTGCAGAACGGTTTCCTTGCGGTATCGCAATGCGTTCTTACCCCGCAATGAAAGGATCGACTGTCGATGCGACTATTTCCAATTAATCTCTACTGATGTACATCTTTAATCATTATATTTATTACCTTATATATTAATTATCTTAACTTTCAGTTAAAATATTAAATAATGTTTGAAATAATAATATGTAAAATGTGCAAAATACTTATTAGCAAAAAAGTATCTATGATTTTCTAAAATGTAATAATAGAGGAAAGCTAGCTATACAAATATTAACAATACCACATTAACAGTGCAAGCATGTAAATGTTTTCTCATTTCATGTTTATGAGAAATTACGACTTATTGTTTTTTCCGGTCAAACTGTGTGTTCCGCGGTGAGAGAATTAATTGCTACGAGTTGTTTTCTTTTCTTTCTCGCTATTGTAAGCGAACCTCCGGTTTCTGAAAGCGAGAGGTTTTGGCCGTCAATTCATGCGACAAACTCGAATGACTGCGGACCACTTCCAGCCCGGACAACGAGAGTGGTAAACAAGTACCGGAAGGATGTTGCGTAAACGGAAACGCACGCGGCCATCTTTGTTTCACCGGATCTTTATTCAGGGATGCACATGAACATCGTGTCGACACAATGTTGCCGTTGTGGAAAGTGGACTGGGAACGTGAGAGAATGCAGGTCCATTTACGTATTCTAATACGGGAGAAATATATATTATTATATATATATCGACACACTCACTTCTAGCCGGAATTAATGCAAGATACTCAATAAATAATAAAATATACAATTAATTCTCAAATCAATTCTTAAAAAGAAAAAAAATTGATCTTGTAATATGCAAAAAAGATGAAAATATATTCAAGAGTAAAATAAGTCTACATATAATTTTAAAATTTTTCTTTCTAAAAATATTCAAGGTGAAACTGCATAAAAGGTAACACACCTCCGATTTTATTGCCACTTAAATATGTTGTAGGGGAGGTTCTTCTGAGTAATTCCTCGCAAGAAATTTGTGGGAGACGACATTAGTTTAGGAGATATAATAAATTAAAGTTTCATAGTTTTAATGCTTCTTCTATTATAAAATAAGAAAAAATCAAAATTTGTTTATGTTGTATTTGTATAGAGCAGACGTGGAAAAAGTATTTGTTTACCTTTACGGGATAGGTATACACTCATGGATAACTTTGTCAATAACCGTGTACCTATCCTGTAGATGTAAACAAACACTTTTTCGTCTGCTCTCTACAACAAATACAACGTACACAAACTTCGCTTTTCCTAATATTACTTTATAATACCTGAGAAAAAGCATTAAAACTGTGAAATTTCAATTTGTTATATCTTCTAACTCAATGCCGTCCCCCACTTATTCCTTGTGGGGAATTACTTAGAAAAATCTCCCCTACAACATATTTAAGTGGCGATTAAATCGAAAGTGTATTACCTTTTATGCAGTTTTATCAACACTCAGATATAACATAATGCGGCATATCGATTTAAAATTAAAAATCATCAAAACTAGAATTTACATCAATTTTAAATTATTTAAATATTCTCATCTTTTATCGCGAGAAAACGAGACATTTAAACAATCAATCGCGCGATATTTCGCACGCAAACGTATCCCAAAACAGGTACGAAATGTATTTCGTGGATCAGTTTCCAGAAACGCCGCCGTGAAGTCTTACATCTTCCTCTTGTTACAATAACATAATTATCGGGGTACTTGAAGAAACCCCCGCATGCGCCACGCATGCATTTGACGTGGCACGCAACATTGTCGTCCGTAGTTAAAATACGCGTGCGACCGTACTCATAACTCTCGCTCTCTTCCTTCCTTTCTCCCCTTTTTCTTTCCCCCACCTCCCGTCTCGTCTTTGAATCACAAATTGTCGAGATAAAACCGGTAGTCGCTCAGGGCCGTAAATTTATCTTCACACCTAATTACTAAGAGTTTTTTTCTAAATTTACTCTCATGACCAGAATAATATCGGCATTTTCTATACCTGGAATTAATTTATCGATAATTTTATTTATAATTCAAAATTATAACCATATATTATATATATATATATATTGTTCAATAAAATAATTTTGTTATGACTGCGAAACTATTTTTAACACAAGACCGCATGTTAAACAGTTTAAAAGTAATTAAATATAAAAGAATAGTGTACAAGTGTACATGTATTTTTATTCCATGGATAAATATTTTGTAACCGACGTATTTAATAAAAAAAATTAATATTTTTCCATTTATATATATTATATAGTTTGGACTATAGTTCCGACCCTGGAAATACACACATTCAACGTATATGTAACATTGACATCGGTGGCTGACTTCCGCAAAAATCGAGCACGCCGACGTATGACGAGATTTCGCCCGGACCGTCCGCGTGGCAAATACAATGTGTCGTTTCTTTTAAAGTACAGGGTACCATAACGCGAAAACGCGCCAAGAAGAAAGGACACTGATTACACGCTATAGGACCGGACTCAGGCGATGGCTCCTTCCGATTCCTCCGCGTTGTCCCCCCATCGGCTGATTATCCGACACAGTATGAGAACGGAACGATTCTCGGCAATCGGCTCGACCGGAGAAAGGAATCGGGGAACGTCCGACGGCAATTGCTCGATCCCGCTCGTTAATTTTCAACAGCATCCGACTTTGAACTTGCCGTATTTCAGCCGCGGCGAAGATTACGCCGAAATGACACGGGCGATTCCTCCTCTCAAAACAAGTGTCAGTGACTTCGTTGCACCCTTGACACCACATGCGTGCAAAGCGACACGCGTGAGATCGCGTCGCAAAGTCCGACTCGTGAAATTGCACTTGTGTTACTTATTTTAGTCTAGACACGAGATTTGAGAAAACAATCGCGTTTAATAACGGCTTTATAATTTATTTAAAAAATTATTGCTTTTTTTTTCGTGAATTCTAAATTTTGCTACAAGACGCGAACCGCAACCTTTTTCTCAGACACGAGGAGATCAGGAAGTTAAATCGGCGACGCATCTGCTGCGTCGCATCTCGCTGGAGAGATGCTAGTCATGGCGCGATCTACAATCGAAATCGACGTGGCGATTACAGCGAGAAGAAATAGAGGAGAGAAGGAAGGGAGAGATCAAGAGAAGAAAAGGGAGCAGAGCTCGGCGCCGGGAGATGAAGATGTTTCACGCGAAAGCCCGATGAGAGAAGAGAAAGAAAGAGAGAGAAACGCCGGTGCATCGAGTTCATCATTAAAGATCCTGGTAGGTGTTCGCGCGATTTGAAAGGATGCTTTTTCCGGGCGAGAAGAATTCGCCATTGTCTAACGACGCGTCCGGTGTAGGGCCATCTAAACTGTCCTAAAGGCCCGTGTAATACGCTATAGTTATACACCACCCACGTGGTGAGATACACAAGAGAACCGACTGATGCGATAAAGGCGCGATCGGGAAAGGCGTTTCGTTTTGCCGGCTCTCACGCAAGCCACCCTTCATCGTGGTAACATAATGATCATTCGATACGGAACCGCGATCTAACACTTTGGACGCGCGGGAGAGGATGTGTCATGTAATGATCGAATGTTATTCGACATCGACGTTTGGAGGATCGTTCAGAGTCTTCAGCGCTTTGAAATACCAATATTCGCCAATATATTGCAATGACTTTACTAAACTTGACAGCACAGAGCAAAAGCGAGATGAGTGAACGGATATTATTTTGTCTAGCGAGGTAGAGCGTAAGAATAAAATGTATCGCGCGACAAATTGTTATTGTAAAAAGTCTTTCCTTAATAAAAAATAAAAAATAAATAAAAGTATATCAAGAGCAACTTTTTCTCTAATCATTTCTTTATTTATCACACAACTCGTATCATAAGATATTATAAATATTTTCCTTGTGTAAAATATATTGCGGATTAATCTATTGATCATCTACATTTCAAACATCGATTATTTGAAAACTACCAGATGAGAAACTATTAAAAGAGTTGTTTGGTAGCATGAAATAAGGAATTCAGCGATCGTGTCGTTTTTTAAGATTGATTAATCGCCATCGTCAATTTTATTCTCAAAATTAAAAAGCTTTCACTTGTTCCACCTGTATTGTTTCGATTTTGTTAAGAACTATGGATGGAATTAAATAAAATAAATATCATGCAATGCAGTTTTATTATTCTAAAATCATCGGGGGAGGGAGGAAGGAGAGGTTCTAAAGCATGCAAAGTATTTTAATAAGATGTGTCAAAGTGTTGAGTGGAATCTAAATCACTTTTATCTACTTTAGGTACTAATGATAGGCTTCAATATTTCCATATTGGACCTGTGAAATAAATACAAATTAATCTGTAATACTATGTATATATATTCAATATCAATATTTTTTAAACTGTTAAACCTGTATATAATTTTTTATAACTGGAATTCTCTTGTGAGTTATATACAATCGTCTAAAGTAGAGAGACTCAACTTTTTAAACTTCTGTTATCAAATTTAATCATGAGACTAATATGTTAAATATCAGATATTAATACTTTATTAAACTGCCAAATATTTCAAATAATTGATATTACTATTAATGAAGTAAAAATGTAATGAAAAGCTATATATCAACTATATAATTTCATCAATTATTTTATTATTATTAATTCATTTTTGAATAATTATTGTAATAAATGCATAAACTTCTTAAAAAATAAATATATACATGTAATAAATAAACTGTCGAGCGATTCATAGAATCGACTTATAGATCGTGCTTCGCAGTTTAAAAACATTTACCTAAAGAGCATAAACTATTCATTCTACGATGATCCTTGTGATTTGATTCTACGATTCTCCTCCTTGTCCTTCTCCTCCTGCGCCTCCTCCCGCTCCCCCTTCCGCTCCCCCTCCCATACTAAAACCTCCTCCAAATCCTCCTCCAATATGTCCTCCAAATCCTCCTCCCGCGCTTCCATATCCTCCTCCATATCCTCCTCCATATCCTCCAGCTCCTTGTGCCGATCGTCGCACCAAACTACTCTCACGACCCATCAAATGATCAGCCATACTGAGAAATCCGTTCACCGATTTCTCCCGTTCCTTTAAATAAATATTATCTTATAATATATCCGATAAAGATATGAAAGAAATTATATACATTTCTTTTTTTATGTTTCAGATTTTGTCGAATAGAAGAAAATTTCATTGAAATAAAGCATAACATTATACATGTTTAAATCATTTTAATCATGCATCTTACTTACATCTTGGAAGTCCTGGACCGCCGAATCGGCAAACTGAAAGGACAATTAAATTTTTTTATTTCACAGATATAATCTTCGTAGAATCTAATTGATATTAAAATATAAATAATATTATAATTAATTTAATTATTTACATCTATTCTTTCGATAATATATAACTATAAAAATTTGTTCTTATATACTTATATGCTTTTTTTTATTATAACAATATATTTAAAAATTCTACTTTTTATATTTAATTTACCGTATTTATGTTAATATAACACGCATGATTTGCACGTTACTTTATTCTTAGATTGTAAATGAATTATCATTGCAAATTTCTTACCACCAGCGTCGCGCAAAGTAAAGTAATGAGGAATAGCTTAATCATCATGCTCAGCTTGATGCACCATGCACACTGGTCCGCAGAAGCCTTCTTTGCCTTTATATAAATCCCATAATCTGTGACGCGTTTACGTGTCCAGATGCGGAAAAAAAACAACAAGCTCATCGTCGAGAGGAAGTAACGCGATTTCGATTGTTATCGTGTTTTTTGTGCAATTTGCGACAGGATTTGACGCATAAAGTTCTTAAAATAAACAGCAGTATAATTACAATGTCTCGTGTAATTATAATGTCTTTGCGACGATCTACACATTATTTTTTGCGATTGCTAGATCCTCTCGCTCGCAATTCAACACTATGCGATGCGCATTCGTCGTTTATTGTTTATCGGAAATACATTTACGATTAGATAATATCCTTTTGTTTGTGTATTATTATGCTATGTTTAACTAATTTCAATAAATACCTAGATATGATCATGAAGAGTTCGAAGCAATTTTTTTTAATTTGAATTTTTTTTTTTTTTAATATCAGTCGTGAATTGCAATTTTTATTTCTTATTTTTCCGATTTTGATGATATCGTGATATCGTTTTAATTATTGTTATAAAGATTTGTTGTAAACAGTTTTGTGACACAACGAGCGATTCAAAGTTATTCCAAATTAATCCAAAAATATAATCCACAAAAGAGTAATTAAAACTAACGATCGATATTTAATAAGGTTAAATGTATTAATACATAACATCGTTCCTATCCGCATAAATTTGTATTGCGAATTTTTAGAGATCTATTAGAACATTACGTGAATAATGTATTAAGAAAAAATGTATCAATAAAAATAATGTATTAATAAAGAACTTATCAACAAGAATCTATTAATAAATTAGCGTACAAGACAAATTCGTATCATAAGATATTATAAATATTGTTTCCTTGTGTAAAATGTATTGCGGATTAATCCTCGGATTAATCCATTGACCATCTACATTTTAAACATCGATTATTTAAGAAGTATCGAATGAGAAACTACTAAAAGAGTTGTTTGGTCGCATGAAATAAGGAATTCAGTGATCGTGTCGTTTTTTAAGATTGATTAATCGCCATCATAAATTTCATCTAATTACTTGGATCTCCGTTATAACTATATTTTCATGACAAATCACAACGCGTACATTCCTAATAGGCTACCTTTAGAGTGATTATGTAAATGATAAAGGAACAGGTCGCTGACCGTAATCAAGTTCGTAAAAATAACTTTTACTTCAGGCACTTTGATTCACAAACACGTAAAGTAAGATTTAAAAGTTCTCATAATTGATACATACTAAATTCATCATTTACGATAAATATAATGCACAATTTAAATATAATTTAATTAAATTAAATTTTATTTATATTTTTATCATTTTTCTCCCTCTATACTCTTTAGACATCCTTTTGTATCGCTGTAAAATAAGTTTCACTAAATGCACATTTAAATAAATGAAAAATAATATCAGAAAAATAAGATTAAAAAATAGTATAGGTAAAAAACTCCTATATATAAATAGATTTGCGTAATCATATTTTTTGATTGAATTATAGCGCGGATATGCATCGCATGCGATCGATTCCCGAAATAATGATCTTTATCGCCGAATTATTGATCACACACACATATACACGCACGTTGCGCGCGATTCGCATTAAAATAAATTCATGAAACAATAAGCGAGATGACCAGATTCGGTGAAAGAGCTCAAGATTCTATCGAATATTTCGAGTGATTTACAACGCCTACCACGCTTTCTCATTTTCACTTTTGTACGTGCGCAATTAGTTGTCAGCCTTGTAATTACGATAACGCGTTATGATATTTTAATTGTTTTAAAAATTTGAGAGACGAACACGAATCTAAATTAAGCGCAACCAAATCTTACAATAATATTGTTTTAAAAATAAATCTCTAGAAATGCAGCGAAAATTGAGTTTTACTATTTTTTTTTTTTTATGAATTTGAAACAATTCTTTTTAGCAACAATTAACTCGAATGTCTTTATCGACTTGGATTTCTAAAATAAATGTGTCATAGTAACTTGGATAAGAAATTACTCTTGTGTGCCGCGAGTAAGTAAATATAAATCTCGCGTAACCAGTTCGGCATCAGTTTCAAATAAATTACGCGGCGGAGCGCGGCGTTTTCCTTTGTGGCTCTCTCGCACCGTGACTTCTCTCAACGGGGTGTGCCTTCGTGAGAAATTCAGAAGAAATCCGTACCGACCACCCATTGCGGCCGTGGTGAGAAAGGCGAATTAAGTCACAATGCGCCCGTAAGATTTGGAAATAGCGGAAGAATGGAATGAGCCGCTATTTCTCGCCCTCTCGTCCACAGGTATCGTCCCGCGCGCCCGATCTCGCTTTCATTAAAAAGAAAGTTCTTTCCCTATA